CGATCGGAGAGTCACAGGTACATGGGCGTAGGAGGAGCTTTCGGTACGGTTGTATCTGCATATGGACCTGCATCGGTCCCGAGTACGGAATGGATGGATGAAGTTTCTGATTGGATCAAAGTTATTGCCGCTGGAAAGCCTTGGGTTATCCGGGGAAGTTTGAACTGGAGGCAGTCTTACCAGCAGCGTGCACCAACTGATGCTACTGCATGTCAAATGACAGCGCCGACGACACTGGCTGGAACTACTCCTACCAGGTTGTGTGCGTCAAGCGTCGCTGTTCAGCATGCGTCTACGGTGTTCGTGCAGGGTATTCCATATCACGGCTTGGTGTTGCGTGCTACACCTTGGAGTGCGATGGTCGGCCCTACGACGAGGTTGAAGCGTACATCTATCTTTGAGTTGGATCAGAGTACGATGGTGTTACCACAGGATATTGAGGCATTGCAGTCGGACGTGGATCAAGCGCTACCTATGTTGGGGATGGCCTACGCGATGACGCAGAGATGGGAACGCTGGCATGCACGGGCCAACCGCGCGATGGAGCTGGGGGTCGAAGCGGGCCTACTCATACGGGGTGGGAGCGCTGAGAGACCCAAAGGATCGAGTCCTGAAGAGAGGCCTGTTGCATCGACTCTGAAGCGCAGGCCGAACGAGCCCGTCATCCTGTCCAGGTTGAAGAAGTTGGGCCGAAGTATTGCAGAGCAGTTGAAGCGCAGCCCACCGACCGCGAGGTTGGATGGGCATCAGCTCGACGTGTTCATCGATTTCTGTTTACGGCATGTTATGGGCAATGGACGTGCTGGCCTACCGAGTCTGGGTCGAGCCCATGATCGAGTATCTGATGCTATTGCTGAGATGGAGCGCCGTCTGCGGGCGGAAGACAGTTCATCATGGAAGCAGATTTTTGCCAAAGAAGTTATCGATCCAGAGTGGTGGATAGCGGCGAGTTTGGCCATGCACGACCCGACGGAGTGCCCTGCCTTCACCGCCGACGACATGTCCGAGGAGTGGCGCAAAATCTGGCGCCCCGAGGACTTCAACGGAGAGGCATGCGCGACCTCATGGGTGGAGCATGCTCGGCGGATGCGTCGCCCCCTCCCTCGGAGCAAGGCCCGGGTTGGCTGGATGCCGAGTTGGGAGCAGCTCCTGCGGGCCATCGCTCGCGGGAAGGGGAGTGCTGGCTACGACGGGTGGGCAGCTCGAGAGTTGAAGATGATGGCCGTGACGTTCGAGCTCCCAGTGCGGGATTTGTACGACCTGTGGCTGGACACGACGAAGTTCCTCGGCACCAACGGCATGTTCAAGACCGTGCCCGTGGAGGAGAGGCCTGAGGACGTGGTGAACTTACAGAAGTTATTTTTTCTTTGAGAGTTGTGGGTATTCCAAAGAAGTGTGGAGCGTCGCGGCCGATTGGGGTGGCGAGCGTATTGCTGAGAAGTTGGTTGACAGCGTGTGAAGAGGCTTTCCCTTCCCCTCAGGCAGCTCAATATGCCTGCAAGGCGGAGTCATCAGTATGTCAGGCAGTGTGTAGTTGGCTGCAGGCGTGCATCACCGCTCAGGCGGGCATGGGGCGTGACCTCAGCATGTGCTACGACCAGGCGCCCCACGAGGCGGGGATTGCGTCGCCCCATGCCGCGGATGTGCCATCGGACTTGGTGGCGGTGTCTTTTGCTGCGTGGACGGGGCCAAGAGGATGCCAGGTGGCCGGTGCTCTTGCCCAAGAGGCGGTGTGGCCATCGCGAGGGTTGGCGCAGGGGGATTCCTGCGCGCCCAAGGTGCTCTGCTCCGCGCTGGCCCCCTGGGAGGTCGAGGGCGAGCAGTTCTTGTTCATGGATGACCGCTCGTTGGCGTGCGAGACGGACCAGCAGTTGACCAACGACATCGACACGACCGACCGCTTCGACTTAAAGACGGGGGTCGTGGAGAACAAAGGTAAGCGTCAGGAATGGCATCGCGGTGAGTTTCGCCGCATCGAGCACATCGGGGTCGAAGCGGCGCCAGATGATCCCACGGCCCCCGTCACCCCAGCGGGAGGGTGGAAGAAGGTGTATGCAGCCATCACCGCTTTGCGACAGCTGCCTGGAAGTTCACGGACGCGGTTGCGAGCTGCTGGTGCGTATGTCGTACCGAGGTGGCTGTGGTGTTGTCCTGTGTTTACGCTCCCGCCTGCGGATGTGGCGGCGAAGCTTATGAGTTCAATATTACGTACGAGATGTCTCTGGTGGTGTCGTGGCCGATTCTGGGCCCTGCATATTCAGTATCATCCAGTATTTTTCTCATGTCTTGACGGCGGTGCGCCGTCTTACCGACTGGGAAATTGACTACAACCCCTGGGTCGAGTACAACCTGCAGAACTTATTTTGGTGGACTTCACAGCCGAAAGTTACCGCGAGTTCGGGATGGATCACGTACGCAGCACACCGTGTGGCGGAGCGCAGGTCAGAGTTGATGGTGATGCAAGTCCGAATGGGGATGTACTACGTTTTGACAGCTAAAGGTATGCGACGAGCCAATAGACCGTATGCGAAGGGCAGACGTTCACCGTGAGATTTCATTATTGCAAGAGAGTTGCGCCATGAATGCAAATGCCGAACTGATCTTGATTGATCTGGATCTTGTGTGTACTGGGATTTTCTTTTCTGTACTTGAGTTTCCACATCCTGATCTACGTGATATACTGATGTCTTGGGAAATTGCAGCTACGATTATCTTGGTTATGATGATGTATATCCAGGTTCCAACTCATGCTCGGTTGTTCCTGAAGTACACAAAACCCAGTTTCCAGTGTCAGGTTTCGTGTGGACCTGGCCTCCAGTGTAGGAAGGGCTCCAGACCTCTGGGGGGGGGCCGGTCTGTGCGCAGCGGCGGCCGTCCCCATGGTCTTTGCCGTGCCTTCTTTCGGGGCCCTGGGCCTTGAGGTCGGGGCGCTTTGCGCTTGGCCACTTGAGGCGTTCTAAAAAGGGCCTGGCCTTCGAGGATAGGAGGAGTTGTCATCTCTTCCGCCGCGGACGGCGGCGGGAGGACGACGGAAGGTGGAGGAAGGAAAGGATGCGCCCCCCAGAAGATGAAAGCGTTTTGGGGTTCAGGGTTTCCGAGATCGCCCGCTTGCCCACAGACATTTTCGCCAGGTTCCGGTCACCCAGACCATCACAGATCGATGTTGGCTCGGGAAAAGCCCCAGAAGGTGTTTCGCGGTTTCCAGCCGCGGTGTTTCGCGGTTGCTGCGCTGGTCGCCCGCAGCGTCGGACCCCTCGGCACTGGCGAGTGTTTCGTCTTGTTTGGGGGGCCTCCTGGGGGCCTCTTCTCGTCGCCGCGGTTCGCGCCGCAGGACGGGGCCAGGGTGGACCCCTTTGTCGGGGGGGGGGGGGGGCGACGTGGAGCGGCTCTGGCCCGTGCGGCAGAGCCACTGCGCGACGCGCTGCGCGGGACGACATGCCGCTGCGCGTGAAACGACTGCGCCCGCGAGCAACTGCAGTCAACCCGCATGGTACGGACGCCTCCTCCCTCCCTCCTTTTCCTCCCTCCCTCCTCCTCCTCCTCCTCCTCCCTCCCTCCTCCTCCCTCCCTCCCTCCCTCCTCTCTCCTCCTCCTCCTCCTCCTCCTCCTCTCCTCCTCCTCCCCTCCTCCTCCCTCCTCCTCCTCCTCCTCCTCCTCCTCCTCCTCTCCTCCTCCTCTCCTCCTCCTCCTCCTCCTCCTCCTCCTCCTCCTCCTCCTCCTCCTCCGTCCTCCTCCGTCCTCCTCCTCCCCCTTTTCCGCCTCCTCCTCCGCCTCCGCCTCCGCCTCCGCAGGGCAACCTTCTCGAGGGCACCCTTGTCTCCCTGGCCCATCCTTGGCCACTCTCGTTGGCCGCGCCCCGCTCGACAAAAGCGGCGAAACAGGCGCCCGAGGCCCGTGCATCCTTATCTCGTGCACTCTTGTGATGCGGGCGCCGACGGTGTTGCATGCAGCGCGCAAGTTGGCCCTTCCCGGGCGGCAGGGTTACCGTCGCCGCCAGCGGGCCCCCCTCCGGCGGTCGGGGCGGGGACCGGGGTCGGCGAGGGTCGAGCGGAGCAGCCCTCGCGCGAGGCCGCCGCCGGCTCCGCGGAGAACCGGGCGGGGGGTCGGCATCGCTTAGCCGATCCCCGTAACCCTCGGCTAGACGTGAGAGTGACCTTTCACCTGAGTGACCTGTAGTGCGGGTCCAGTGGGGTCCCCCGACCGTCGAACGCGATGCGGTAGTAGCGTCTTGCGCGCTTGAGTTTGGTCCCCCCGCGGCCCACCAAAAGACGCGCACCAAAGGTCACTCTTACCCAGGGTCACCCTTGCGTGTAGCCGAAACCCATCCCCATAGCGATCCCCACCATCCCACCACCCCCAGCTGTCAGAGAGACAAGCAACTAACTCGGGTTGGGAGGATGGGGTTGGGAGAGGTGGTCGTCCCTATGATCGGTCGCGCATGTCGGGCGTGCTTGCCGCGCCGTCGTGCCCCGTGTCCTCCCGACCCCATCCTCCCAACCGGCTAATATTGTCTCTCTGGAGTTGGGGAAAGGGATCGGTCGAACGCTGCTCGAGGGGGGGGAATCCAGGGCGTCTCGCGAGAGAGCTCTCGCCGCGCCCGCGGGCCACCTGTGGCACCCCGGGGCCGCCACGAGCCTGCTCGGGGCGAGAGAAGCCACGGGGCCCCAAACTTGTTTTCCCTCAGGAGCCGCCGCCGCCGCCGCCATCGTCGTCGTCGTCGTCGCCGCCGCTGCCGTCGCCGTCGCCGTCGTCGTCGTCGTCGTCGCCGCCGCCGCCGCCGTCGTCGTCGTCGTCGTCGTCGTCGTCGTCGTCGTCGTCGTCGTCGTCGTCGTCGTTGTCCAGAAGGCGGGGCTCGAGGGCCGAGGGCCGAGGCAGGTCGAGGCGCACGGCCGATGCCGGGCCCCCCCTGCTCAGCCTCCGGGGAGGCGCCCCCTCCTGGGGACCCCTGGCCCCGCGGGGGCCGCCGGGAGACCCGCCGCCGCCCGACACGCCCGCGGGAG